TGCTTTCGGCAGGTGCGTGACCACGCGAAACGTAAGGACGCGTACACCTCACCCGATCTGGGTGGCCAACGTGTGCATTCAGCATTTGCAACAGCCCAAGTTGCCCCATCTCCACCGTCTATACTCGTCGCGGCGTGACAAAGCGGGAATAATGGTTGATGGTCACATGAAACATGGAGCGTCCAAGCCGACCATGCGAGTCGGGACGCACGCGGCACACTCTCCCAACTACAGGGGCAAGGTGCGAACCATACACGACCTCAGCCACTCGAAAGCACACTCACCAGACGTTATCAGTCAAACGTCTCCGATCGTGTCGTGATGTCAACTGAAGCAACCGGAAGAGCATACGTTGTCGGCTCGTTTGCAAGAAGTGCGCTTCAACCAAGGACAAGGACCAGGCGCCCAGCAAATCATCAGCACACTTCACAGAATCGGACCGCCGGAAACGAAGCCAGCGTGGGACTCCCAGGCACTGGACCAGCCATGCAGACTGGCATTATGAGGCAAGGGCCTAGTCAATGAAACCAAGACTGGAAAGATATACGCCAATCCCGCCACTACCGCTCGACTCATGGCGACCAGAGTCGAACTAACACCGCTATCCCAAGGCGTAATATCGCCCGAATGATCCGCAAGAGTAGCCTTAATAGCGGAGAAGAGAAGATGAAGAAGAGCTTCGAAGTCATCCACGAATGGCTTGATGGCATGGGGTGGGTGGTGCAAATGAAGCGCCTTTATATCTCCCCGATAGTCTATTCGATGGTTGGTGATTATACGGAGACGTCTGATACCAGAACTGAGGACCGCCTTAAGGTGAGGTGAACAGTGTGCAGCCCCAACCGGCATGTAATTAACAGTCCATGGACTCGGGTGTCCTATGATGATGTATTCAGCCAGGGTGAAGACGGCCGAGAAGCATCAGTCAGTGGAGAATGGGCGAGGACTCGTGCGGTTCTCGGTGGACATCGTGGTGTAGCACGTGGAGCACGAATGCTCCAAACCTTCTAGACAACATAGGGTATCGTAGTGCACCAAAAGTAGTTCGTCGAATCTTTCCAAAATCCTCCGACTAAGTTATCATGCCTCACATCCACAATGGCCTAACACAAGGAGGCCGTTAGTCACTCCAAGTATACGTGCGTCGTAGTTATGGGAAACGACAGCGCGGCTGCGGCTTTGTGATGCAATCAGCTCATATCAACAACATAAGATTGCTGAGGTTTCCACGAGCCAGCCCCAGAGTGAAGCCTTCTAAATGTCGACTGCCAGGCACCTTCTAGCATTCATCTCTTGGTAACTCCCAAAGATACAGCGCCTCGTCTACATTCGCGCGTCCGTCATATTGGAGTGAACGCAAACATCAGTAGAGGGCCAGCAGCCAAGGAGCACAGACTGCGGAACATGAGAAAGCACCTGATTGACCTGGCCATGCTGGCGGACGTCAACGCTCCAGCCTGCTTGAAGTCATTAAAAAGATCAAGACGAGCACAAAGGTCGGCCAACTTGCAAGTCGATGCCGGTGACAGGAGCTTCGGCCTCGACGTGCTGGTTGATGTGAGAGGAGAGAAGAGACGGCAGGCTGGGGTTGGTCTTGACGGCAACTCAAGATGTCCGATGCCCGGGAAGAGTACATCAGATAGCTCGTATCAAGCGGCGTACTAGAACCCGGCACCATAACCTTAGCCCCTTCTCCCACTCTTGTTCCTCTTTCTTCACCAGCTTGCCTGAGCTCTGGTGATTACAGCCAAAAGTTCTTTGCGACCACAAGATCAACTTAGAATCACATGTTACAGTCGGTCCACCGCGGGTAGAGGGTACGAAAGTCTGCGGCCGTGTCCGCTAGCCGGGGTCGAGAGGTCGGATGGTTGTGGGGGAGAAGAATCTCTTGGGCGGGGGAACTGGCGCAAAAGGGCACTAACCCAAAGGTTGGCCGTCCAGCGCAGGCTTAATTCAACGACAATGTTGCACTCCAACTCGGACGGCCCTTTTGCCCTGGGCCTTTTCAACACGACTAAACTGCGTCGAGACGACATGCTCAGCTGACCTGGACGGCACCCGACCTTCAACCGGAACGCAACTGCCAGCACCGCGACGCGCCCAACCACCCACCCCTACTTGTACTCCCACACAATCGCCTCCTCCATGATGACCTTGCCTTCGCCCTCACCGCAGCCGGAGCTCGGGCAGTCCTTCTACTATGTACGCCTGCCCGCCCGTCTGACGTAGCCGCCAAAGCCGCGCGCGCCAACCCTGGAGCGTGTCGCGCTTCAAGCAGCCCCCACCAGCCTTACGATACACTCACACCCGCCAAAGAGACAGGTACTGCGCGATCGATCTCCCCTACACGCATTACATCACTACATAATGCGAGCGACATCGCAATATTCCTGATGTTCAAAGCTCACCGCCCTATCCCCAAAGCTACTTCTGTCGCGACTGAAACAACACCTTAGGACATGCCGCGCGTCTTTAGCAAGGCAGTGACGACGAGTATTGCCAACATATCGCCGACGTCGCATTCGACCTCAGGACCGCCTCCTAGCCGCCTTCGCTACACATGAATGCCCATGCCAATACTACACTCCACCGACACCCCGCCCACCTCAGCGCTGCTCAAGCGGCCACAACCTGACGCTCCCACTTTATTGCAGCCAGAATGCTCCCTCTCAGCCGATTCACTTTCTCCAGTCACTGGGTACCCTCGCTCCGGAGAAAATGCAACCATCAACACGTAGACGGAGGCGAGATAGACGGAATCACGAGCATGTCTTCGAATGTCATTGCCGGACACTCTCATCGATGAGCTATACGTACGATCGTGCCTTATCCGCAGTCGCTACCCAGCACTCACACTTCTCATACGGTCATCCTGGGTCTCCCTCTTCGAACAAGAACATCTACAAGTGGTGCATGGAAGACTGCACGGTTATGGCAACCTGAATGGACTCGATGGACGTGGATTTTCCGAACGTCGTTGTCACGCATGTGATGGAGCCCTTGCCGTCGCACTTTGGCATCGCGGCCATGGGCGGTGCACCAACTCGATCAGGTTCCAACCCAACTGGACCGTTCATTCCGCCATGAATACCGTCGCATCACTCTCCATCGCAGCCCTCGACCATCAATACGAACTACAACACAGGCCTGCCATCCCGTGGTCCTGCCAACCACCACGTATGTCGCATCCATGTCCGCCGCCAGGTCATCCTATCGGGCTCCGCCAATGCCTTCTCAGGTCATCATGGACGTAGTCGCAGCTGGACGTCCCCACGCTACTCATGGCCAAAGTGAAGATGACGTCGATGTGGTACGGCGCAGGGATGTTGCTAGTAGCTTGTGCGTCCCGAGGAGTCGATGCGGCAGTATTGTGCGGGCACTGGTGTGACCAAGGTTCGTGGTTGACACAGTAGACAAGTCGTCAAGGTTGAGGATGAAGATAAGGACATGGATTATGAGTGAGATGGGTAGCACAGAGGCCGTGAGGGATGACAACAAAAGGGGTACGTATGTCAAGCTGCGTCTCCAGTAGCACTACGAAATTGTACTTCACACCTCGAGGTCTTCTCCTTCTCCACGATTGAGTGACCAGCTTAGGCTTAGTGCTGACGGATGCGAAGTTAAATCTGAGTAATGCTTGCCTCTTTCAAAATCTGCTCGGTCTCATGAATATAATCAACTCCTCACTTGGAGAACTTCTGCTAGCGTCACCTGCGCATGGAAATCCGAGACACTCAACCCACCAGCAGCCGACCGTGCAGGTACACCACGACGAACTGATACGTCCCTCATATCGACAAGATCAATGGAACGACTTCTCCTGAGCGTCGGAAGTTCTTCGCAACCCCCGGCATCGTCGCCGACGATTCTTCAGTGAGGCTATGCTCACTCTTTACTGCCCGTGTAGCAACGTCTCACTCAAATCACGAACGCTCAAACTCTCTCTAGCCTTATCTGCTTCTGTTACGGCATATTTTAAACCCCATCGTGAAAGAATAGCGTTGCGACCGCTCCTGGGGACGATACGCCTCTGCGTTCTCCTCATGTCAAGAAAGCGACGAGGATAGTGTTGATCAGAAATGCCGTCATGGCCAGTGCTGTAATTAGGGTTCAAGTATTAATCACTGTGCGCAGATGTTTTTCCAGGGTTTTGCAACAAGTCAGTATGATTACATGGCCAGATACAAGTCTATGCGTGAGCGGAACAAGCACATTCGTGCTTCAATCCGATCTATAACCATAGAAAACGTTTTGAAGACAACAGCAGATCTCGCGGAAGGAAGCACGCAGGGGTTAACCACCACTGGCTTTTACCAGTCCGAATGCGTATTATCGCGAAGAGCGTTGTCCCCGCTCACGTGGGTGCGTTGCTTGTTTTGGTCTTGGTAGCACCCACGTGGACAACGATCACGGGAAGGATCTGGTACCCGGTTTCGTACGAGATGAAATCGGCGTCTTGTGTAACTTCGTTGTGTCTGTGCCGCATGTGCCCCAAACGCCGCAACTCGCGCGAGCACCAATGGTCGCGGCATCGCATTCTGGTCTTTGCGAACAATGAGCGAAGGTAAACTAACAATGCAGCCCCCTCGATGAGAGTCGACCTGAGTATGCGCAGCTTCGACGATAACAGCGATGGTGTCAAGGTCCTGTACCTGTGCGCTGTGCTTCTCATGACCGAGACGGGAGCGAATCCTCCATGTCTTGGCCGGCAGATTGGGACAAACGTCGATTGAAGAAGTTTCAGAACACGGGCAGTGCTGAGCGTGGCCATACGTTACCCAACATATGAGTGTCTCTAAGCACAATCGCTGGTTTGGTTTGAAAGAGTATCGAACGTGCAGCGCAGTCTGGATAAGAAGTCAGCTCCTGTCCCCTTTCTTCAAGCACGACATCAGAAACCTGTTCACAGCTGTTCTCTCCTCAAAATCGAGAAGTCACCCTGTTCGCCGATCGCACGCGCCCACTATACCAGATCGAAGACATTCTACCAGCTGACCGTCATGTCGGGCGTCGGCAACGTCGACAACTCACGCCACGAGGAGGTCTATGAGTTGCAACCTCTCTTCAAACTTGGTGATCCTGACCGGCTGTTCGACAACCCGCTTGCCGAACGTATCAGCACCCTCTTCACCATGCATGCTTCTAGCGATGGTAAGTGACGATCTTGGTACGACAGCCGTGATGACGAAGCTGATGTTGAACTAGAAACTGAGGGAGACCCATACGATGACCTACTGCTCGCAGGCAAGGCAAAGCACCCATCGTCGAACCCGCGTGAGAATGAATGTGAGAACGCGCCTTCTGCGGTTGAAGCCCGGAAGGCAGCGCCGGTGGACGGTACGATATAGCCCCACTTTCGCACACGTTTGCTTACATCTAAACTCTCAGCCACCGGTCAGCATGACCATGCAGAGGCGCCAGTCCCCTCTAAGCGGGTCGGATGTCTTGACAAAGAGGTGGACGTGGCTCTAGCGAAAGCTAAAGCCCAGGTCGTCACCACGATGTTCTGCAGCGTGGTCATCAGCCAAGGGCTCGCTACGATTGTGGCCATGATCATGGCTGCCGTGGCGATCGAACAGGCCCTGCTTCTCATGTTCTTCTCGCTCATTGTCATGATGTGGTTCATGAAGAGCATCATCAAAGACCTGTAGGTGGTGGTATACGGTCGGCATTGGAATTATGATGGTATGCTGCGCTCCGGATCTTTCTCTTCTCTGCGTACGGTTTGGGGTGATACATAAACTAGCATCTAGCTCTTTCTCAACCAATTGATGCCGCAATATGGTTTGACTCTTTTGACTTCGTTCCAGCGCATGAGAACTGATATCGTTGAGTTCGTCGTCTCCCTTGACGTTCACATTTCTATCGCCGGGGCTGATCTGTCGATTTTATCCGGGCAGAATGTTGAGGAGACATCAATTCTACTGTACTTCTATCTCCGTTCGAAGTCTGAGACGAAAAGACGAGCTTGGTGCAGTGTTGTCGCCGTTCGTTGAGGTCAAGCGCGGACTGTCAAGCGCGGAAGTCAGCTGTCTTGCCTCCGGGGCCGCGCCCAACACGGATGCGATGCCTCTCGTCCATGGGCGACAGCGCCGCCATTGGCAGATCGTGTGTTCTTCTATGTGCTGACGGAGTTCGGCATATGGAGAGATGCGGAAGCACCTGGCAGATGCGCTGAGCCTCGATTGCGGGGAGCCTGGACCCTGCCAAGCTGTCGTCCTCACGTGCCGACTAGTGATGCTAGTCAGCTTCCACCCGGGCAAGATTGCAGGCCACCGCGCCCTCGAGTGCGGACACGGAGTACGCCCGTATGCGCATCCGGTACCCGTATCCCAAGACTGACCTCGCGCTCTACACTACCATTACTGCGTTCTTCTCGACTCGTAACAATGCGATGCGCCATTGGTAATGCGACGTCACTAGCCAAGTGCGGTGCGTATCGCAACGCCAAACCACAACACCCAGCAGGGCCAACGCTGCCATAACCTCTGGCCGTGTTCCTAATTAGGAGAGATGACATTGGAAGTGCTGAGGCGCGTATGAAGGCACATCAACTGCTACGAGGAGGGCATTGCGATCCGAAGAGCTCGTGCTGCGATCCCAAACTCCCACCATCCAAGGGTACGGACTGCCCAGGCTTCATTCATCTAGATTGGCTTCATACTGACTCTCGGTATTTAGAAGCGTACCAGGCTGCGACTGCCTTTCATCGTCTGTCAACATACCCTTTACCACATACGCACACGCACACGCACGAGTCTTCGATCCCACCACGCATCAACACCCCTTCCATGCGCGCGAGATTAGATAAGCCGACCGAATGAGAAGGAGAAAATACGGCTACTGGCGTTGCATCATCTGACCCGTCTTTCTCGATTGATCGTTGCAGGGGCTTGATCCGACACCACAAGATGACAAGACATCGGAGCAGTGCCGGGCAAAACCATGCCATCAGATGGAATGTAGAACACAGCGCATCGTCATGTATCTCCGCGCTCGAACATCTTGACGGCTTCACTGCGCTACGCTTTGGCGGTCGAGACTCATGCTCCCGTCCTCTGCACATCGCTCGCCTCCAATCTTCATCCGCGCCTCCTCCCAGTCGATTTAGGCCAACCATGCGATTACCTGCAGCATCTATTCCAGCCCGCAATGCGCCCACGATGGCCCTCCTCAGACTTTGTCCCCTCGACGACGTCCGAATAAGCGAAGCCGCCCTTTGCTATGCCGGCGGGTTGGTGATACACGAGGAGGATGGCACATGCATACACTCGGTCGCATGGTGTTGACCTCGCTGAGGTGATAAGCCTGTGAGCTAGATCATGGGTCGCGTCGGGTAGCGAGGGGAAGCGGAGAGGAATGCGCACAGCCCGACGGCCCCTTGACGAGCTCAGATGTGGCCTGTAACCCGCCCCGGTCCCAATATTGTAATACTGGTGCCGCACCTCAGAAGGTAACAATGTCAATGTCAAATAGAGTGGTAGGAAGCCGACGTGGTGCCTCATTGTCAAATCGTAGCGATCCGAGCTGCCGGGTGTACCAGCCTCGGCTTCTTCTTCTCACATTGCTAGCCCAATTGGCATGACGAATGGCTCAGTGTAATTCTCTTCACCCGAGCCTTTTCTCGAAGCTGAAGATAGGCGACAGAAGAGAGTTATGTGATAGAAAGGCTAGACTACACATCTGGGTTGGAGGTGAGCTTGAAGACCAGTGGACTTTCCATCTCCCTCGAGGGGCGAGGGCTTTGCCTATCACCCTTGTCAGACGAGACGATGTATAGCAATGAAAACATGCTCCTTGGCACACCCCCGTTATTTTCGCAGCAACATCGGGTGAAGACGAGCCCAGTATGGAGAAAGCAGTACACTAGCTATAGATGAATCTCATCCATGACAAATCGCAAAACAGAAGACATTGTTTCGCTCCGGTGAGAGAACTGACAAGACGCTGGCAGAATCTCTGATGTGCTAGCGAAGTTCCTTCGCAGTGGCTAGTAAGATCTTGGACAGTGATACATGTATAGAGGGAACATAACCTCCTCCTCGCCAACATCGCCAACAAAGTCCGGGTAGAAGAACATGGAACGTATTCTAGGTGTCTCGTTGCCTGAAAGCCGAGCGGATAGTGTCCAAGCGAGCAATGTACAACTCGAACTCATCGCCACTCTTCCTCCTCAGCTCTTCGATGGTGGTTCTGACCTCGAACACACTCCTGATGGAAGCCATATCGGGGTCCTTGCGACCATGCATCCTGTCCAGGATCGCCATGATGTCGTTGTTGGCGTCGGCATAGGCTCGGAGCGCGTTCAGATTGGCCTGCATCGTATCGGTGGTAGCGTCTGATAAGATGAGGTCGAATTCCTCGTCCTCTTCCTCCTTTAGCGACTCTCGACGATCACGCTCGGCGACAGCCAGCTCACGATTGGCTAGCAACATTCTTGACTTGAGCTTTTCCACGTCTCTGATGACGGCTTGTGCCCTCCTTATGATCGTGTTGGCAATCAGGATCATGACGAACCCGCCTAGAAGCAACACGCGAGCATTTGTGTCCGAACCCGAGACATAGTGGGCATCCAAGTAGCCGAAACTGTGAAGGAAGACCTTGAAAGCACAGACAATGACAGTTGTGAGGTTTATGAACAACAGGATATCGAGCCAGATAGGTAGAGGCGAACGACGGTTGTCCATTGCGCCTGGTCTTTGGGAGTCAGCAGAGAAGCACATGGAAGAAAGGTATTTGATTCGGTATAATGGACTTACTGGTGGGTTAAAAGGCAGGTCCGATTGGTATTTAGCGATGTGGAAGCCTTGCAACGGTTCTGGTCCGCTGGGTAGTGGTAACGTCCTGGGGATCGTGCAAAATATGTCACAATGAGGAGATCTGGGAGGAAACACACGATATTTATCATGCCGTCTGGAACAGCCTTGGGTCTGTAATCCGGTTGAAATCTTGATGAGGTGTGAGGCAATGAACCGTGGTCTTTGGCTTCGCTCGCAGTGCGCTATGGATGCCATAATTTGCCTCGGCATGAGTAGACAATGAGAATAATGGTACTGCTCTCGATGCTGGCGGACCATTAGCAAATAGGGGAAGCGATACATCCGGTGCGATACGAGCACTTGCTTGACCTCGCAACTGCGCTGGCGCTGAACCGAAGTGGTGAGAGTAAGGGCGTCGAATCAGTGTGTTTCAGATTTGCTTCGCAGCGACACAAATTCGAAATGACGATAAGAGTTCAGGGAAGTCCAAAGGAAACATAAGCTGGAGCCAATGTCTCTGCATATGCGACCCTCACACGTTCTCGGCCTCTCGAGCATTCTTGTGGATGACGGATGGGTTGGACAGATTTCATCGACGAACACCCATACAGACGAGTATATGGTGTCTTTATCATGATACCGAGCTTCTATCACGAAAACATAGCGGGGCGATATCTCATCTCGATCGACCTGAACATGGTGGCGTCGCCGGGCGAGACGTGGTGCGTTGCGCGTGGGGCTTGCTGGCGAGCGGCAAAACAGTGCCATAGGACACCACAGCCACGACAGCTAGATATCGGCATTACGAGAGAACAAGTACTTCGAGATGATCAATGCGACAAAAGATCCAAGTTATGACGAAAATTGGATCGCTTTGCGGCTGTAGAGACGTGTGCGCAGCCATGAGACCTTGGGCCAGAACCACCGCAGCTCACCAAAACCTCTGCACAGACAAGGACTCAACTCCAAACGACGTCAGCCCTTTCCGTTCTAGACGAGGGTACAAATCTGTTCATAAGTCGTCAATCTCTTGCCTGCCGCGATAGAATACATACTGCTTTCGCGTTTTCCGGTGGCGTCGTCGAAAGAAGGTGCGCATCCTTACCATCTGACGTGGGCTCGGCTAGCGCACACAGGCAAATCTCCGGCCCAACCGCGATCTCTCTCGGCCACACCAGCAGCGTAGCGCCCACGCTACCCCGCCACCATGACACGCGACGGTAGGACCCTTGCTCTGACCCGCTAACGCCATCCGCGTTGTACCTGATCGTCGTACTAACGTCGTGTAGGTGACAACTCCACCGCGCCCACGCGCCGCTTGTCCCACCACTCAGCCGCTCGTGGCATGAACTTCTATGAGCCGCGCACTTATCGCACTCGCGCGAAGCTTCGAATCCCGGCGGGTCACACCAAAGAGACCTACGAAGTCGACTGCCTTACCAACAAACGATTCTCAGAGAACTTCGACGGACCGGAGTATCGTGTGCGATGGGCCGGGCTGGACGAGAACGGCAACAAGTGGCCGTCAACCTGGCAGATTGCGAGCGTGATAGGAGATGTCTTGATCGGGCAGTATGAGGCTAGCCACGCGCAGCCTGGGCATGAGGAGATGGACGTCGATACTGCAGCTGAGGCCTCCCCCGAGACTGGTCGCTCTACCATCAACACCGCCCGCGCCCCGGCGCTTCCAGCCACGCCAGCTGTGCAGGCAAAGAAGAAGGAGAATGCAAGGGACAAAGAGAAGCAGAAAGCAATGAAGATGGCAGTGCAAGACGATGACGGCATGTGGTCGGTTCTGGGAGAGGGTCGAGACAAATGGAAGAAGGGGAAGGGCAAGAAGAAGAAGAAGGCTCAGAAGAGCGCAGGGCCGCGTTACAGCGTCTTCGACACGATCCGGATAGAGGACAAGCACGACAGCGGAAAAGGTAAAGCCAAGGTGGTGGGCGGAGGGCTGTACGCACATGGGGATACTGCTGAGGACTCCGACGATAGTGTCCCCAGTTCTACATTCAGTTCCTTATACGATTCCGTCAAGCGACGCAGAGCCAAAAAATAGGGCGCTTCGCAGCGCAGACTCGCCGGCTAGCTGGACAACGTCGACATCGTCATGGCCCCCTGATGTTTTTGGATCTTGCCGCCTCAGACTGCCTAAGACGCATGCTCATCGCCGCATCGACATTGAGGTCGGCCCCGGTGCGCAGTTCGGATCATATCACAATAGGGACGGATGACGCAGACACGAATAACGATGACCATGATGATACCCATCCATATCTATGTATATTCAATAAGTTGATGAAACCTTTGCTTGACATCTCCTGTCGATCATTCACCGTGGCCGTGGTGCATCTGAAATGTGATACCCCGTTTTTGTCCTTGATGAAGAGGTTGAAACTTCCTGAGTTAGATATAGGCAATAAATAGCTATAGAAGTGCTCATCATAGCATTCTCTCAATCCAACACTCCGTGGTCGTTTCGTGCCATGCCTGCCTTTCTGCACACATGAGTTATCGGTTCCGGGACGGGATGTATGCATCGGCTTTGAGAGCTCTCCCGTCTAGGAGCCCAACGAAGAGGATCTTTAAAAAGCTTGGGATGGCGTTCTGCCCGGGTAGACCGAGTGGTAGCCCTCAAAGGTTCGTTGTCCGTCTGATGTATTGAAGGTTGGAGGGAAGGAACCCCGCAGCACGCCACATGTGTTGCAATTTGCTACTGCCCATCAGGCTGATTCCGTCTTGACGCGAGCGTATACAAGCCTTGTGAACACAGCCTTTATACCATCGCGATGCGCTGTCCTCCATGCATCGCCGGTGCAAGTGCAAGGACTCAGGCGTGCGACGTGTTGCTTCTCCTATCGCCAGACGGTGGGCAAAATTCATGCCAGGAGCTCAAATATAATAAGAGATGTAGGGGGTGGAACATCGTTTCCACAAAAAAGCTCCTTCTGGTCCGAGATCGTTGGTTGAGAAGGCATGGCGGCTGTGGGAAACGTCAGACCCCGTGGGTAATGGGTTGTGAAGTCCCCGGGCTGACTCGCGCTCCGCCAATAGCGCTCAAGAGAGCGCCGCGGGAGTGGTGATGTCGCGATAGCTCCGTTTTGGGATCGCCAGCCGCGTCAAAACTCGTAACATTCAACAACACGCGCATCTTCTTCCCTTACGCAAGATCTTTCAACTCAAAGACAGCTCATCAGTATAGGCGCGACGCGATGACAACATTCACAGATCTAGTTGGGCCCCGCCTCCTCGTCTAGGAGAGATGACCTGGGCATGAAGGTGCGCGTCGCTCGGTGAGGGCAAGCTCTTGTGTTGACGATACTTCTCTTTTCGAGAGGACCTGATTGGATGGGTGCATATGGATTTCGGAAGTTGTGAGTCGCTCGTTCGCGTCGCCACCGCAGTACCATGGGACGAAGATGAAGAACCAAAGTATCGCATCGCACTCAGATGTGAGTCAGAAGGGGAATATAAGATGGCCGCCGTGGCGTCTTCGTTGCTTGCACAACTCACACACAACCATGGACGAACTGATCATCACCACCGCTTCTTCAAGCCCCAACATCCGGCTCTCGGTGAGGGCAGGAGGCGACTGCGCGTCAAACCCGCTCAACGCGCGCGCGCTTCAGCAGCTGAGTATCGCAATACGTGGAGCTCACTCGTACAATGCGTGTATCGTCAGCAAAATGGAGCATGTGGACGTTGGACTTCGATTCGTTCGTGTACCCTGCTGGATATGACTATCTTTTGGACCAGCGCCGACAACGTCACAAGAACAATGTGCAACCCACGCCTTCAAAAGCCATGCGTCTCACACCAGGCAATATATCTTCCAGGGAGATACATCACCAGCTCAAGCGACCAAGCTAGCGAGATCACAATTGGCTGGAAGCTACGCCTACTTTTCTCATGGACCGAGGTAACACCCAAAGCTTGACTGGCGCTGACAAGGCATGCAGCACTGGAACTTCTCGCTACACCTACTCAGGACCAAGGCACGACTGACAAGACTGGATGAGCTGTTCATTACTGGAGTGTATCCTTGTATCCCTTAAACCATCGCGCGCATCAAAGTGATCACCTTCTCGCTACCGCTTAAAACCGCGATCGCCAACTCGAAAACGCTGATCGCAGCAGACATAGCCAGCTGGGAGTGGTGTCTAGTAGTGATGGGTCGTGCGAGAAGAACAAAAAAACATCAAGCCTTTTGACCTCGCTAGACTCCGACATCACCTCACGACAGAACTTAAGGCCACGCAACACCAGACCCATAAGACTACGTCCTTGACACCATAGCCACACTTCTGATAAGGGTTAGTATGTCTCCTTCGCGCTTCATGCAACAAATGCCGGATAGTCCACTTACTACTCGTCCTCCGGTATGTGGATGACCTCGACCGGGCCGTCGGACACCAACTTCCAGTCGTTATTCCTGCACTCTTCGAGCGTCTTGCCGAGATAGTAGACACCAACCCTGTCTGGCTTCCAAAGGTCATTTAGATCGTACCACCTCGACGGCGACATGTCGTGCTCTTCTTCGTCGTCCTTCAGATCCAGAGGAATGGCGTAGATGCCACTGATATGACCGTCGTCTTCAACTTGTCCTACGGCGGCGTATGGTGTTTGTTGCGTGTTGATGCCGCGGTCCTTGGTGTGCTCCTCGGCGTTTATGATCCCGATGTGTACCAACTTCGATTTGTACAGGTTTGGGGATTCCGCGTTCCCGGTTGCATTCGGGTTAGCTTCGAACCACAACGGACGCGTCTGATTTAAGGATCCGGACGATCCTCCAGACTGTGTTGGTCGGGCGATATCGTCACTGCCGTGTGGCTTTCCCAGATGATGTTTGGCGTATATGAACGGGGTGGAGACCGCGTTGGAGTAATGATTAATCTCGCTGATAGCTGAAGGAGCGTAATGAGCGGTGAGCTCGGCTGGAAGGATCTCTAGATAAAGATCAACGTTCTTGTGATGGCCCATGCCGTAGGTATGTCGGCTGGACAGCTGCATTTCAACATCCCGCATAAAAGTGACTGTCGACTCTCGGTTGAAGTTCATACGAAGCACTTTGTCCAGATCGGTCCCTTCGCCCAACTGAGGCACCCGTCGTGACGCGTATTCATCCTGTCTCTTCACGTATTCATCCAAGATGTCGCCAAACTTCTGTTGATCCTCGATCTGAGGCAAGGGCACATGATGTCAGTAAGTTTCTTCAAAGCAGCGGGTACACCGTAGTTCTTACATCGACCTTGAAGAACTCGCAAATCTGTTGCTTGAAGGGCAGCGCCTGCTTGTCGTTGCTAGCTCGCCACCTCGAGAAATCTGCATACTGTTGGGCCCCAACGTGACGTGCTTTCTCGTTCATGTCAGCCATCCTGCCAAAACCTAGCGTCGGTAGGTATGAACGTGCGTTCTTGTTTGTCGACATTCGATGATGGTTAAGAAGGCGGGCGGGGAGTGAGAAAGGTGCTGCACGTCGAAGGAGACGGGAGGATGCCATGAGCGCGAAGATTGTTCGGGGTGAGTTGAGGTTTAATACCTAGGGAGGTGAGGTACGTGGGCACTAGTGGAGACAGGCAGGTGCGCAGGGTAAGAGGGGTTTTGATAGGCTAGGGGTGAGACTAGCGAAGGATCTAGCGCGTTGACTGTGATAGTAAAAGTCACGCCCGAATCGTCAACATCGCGATATTATTGTTCAGGTCTCGGTAGTGAAGTCATTCCGCACGGATGTTGATCAATTAGAATACTATTTTGGACAAACTGATCTGCCTAGGCTTCGGAGCGGAGGAATTCATTGTGCTATGCACAGCGGTTGCAACACCAAACATGGTTTCGGTGCAACTTCGTCAAAGCGGCGAACGATTGTGGAAGCACATTAACCAAACTGTGGAGTCTACAATGCTCAATTTAGGTAATTGCGCACTCTCTCGTGGTGGCAAGATGGTGACAAACGCCGCGACAACCTGCAGGTTTCTCCACCACACATGAGCAATGTCGACACCGGTCCGCATATGTCTTCGAATGAATACCAAACATGTCTAGAGGCCAGGCAAATGAAACGCCGATGCAAATATGATCTCGCAGTAGTAGCCTCATAAACATGCTCAATGAAGCGTTGCCAAACGGACCACGAACAAAGATACCTTTCAACGGCGGGAGTTTGCCAACGTGTCAAACTCAAGCAAAGTCAATCGACGCCCAAAGAATGCTTTCAGATCTGACGAGGGCAATCATGCTGAGCGCCAGCGGGTTTAGCACCGGCACAAGGAATGCTTCCAAGCAAGACGCGTAGCAAGCATGTCGATTCGACCCAGTTCCAACGTCGCAAACGACAGCGCAAGTTGCTTCTCGCCAGAGCTCATCAAAGAGCCAGTGGCAGGTGTAGCAAGCGGTATCAGGTATTTGGGTCACAACAAAGTTCCTGTAGCAGAGAGTTGGGTTGTATACGCATCTGGAGCGATTCACGATAACTTTATTACCAATGGCGCTCATACAAAGATTGAATTCTGTATCACTCCATCGAAGATACTGCCCATCAATTCTGCTACCCTATCGACCATCTCGCTCCTTGCCTACTATCAGATCCAAATCTACACTTCCAACGCCCCCAATCGTTGCTCTATCTCCTGATTGCCCTTTGTCCTCGCTGCATCCTAGACCTATTGTACCTTTCATACACCCTACTGGCAGAGCAGTATGTCCAGTTTGTGAACGTATCGCCTCAGTACATTTGGATCAAGTTTTTCCGGGCAATAATACTACAAATGGCCGCATACCATGCAAGTGCAGAGCAAGTCTTGGTATTGATGCTGTGCGGGATCTGCCATCATGGACGGCGAGTGTCAACCTCGGTTCAATTCCACACGATCCGAAAGATAGTGCCGGAAGCTTCGCGCGAGACGCACATACGCTTCTTTCAGTTGGGAGGGCCATCCAGACGCTCGTAAAAGAGAAGGGCTATCTAGATCTATCGCCATCTACCACTCATCTCAACGCCGAATGGGCCAAAAGCGACCCGAATTCCAGCGTTGGAAGACAGTGGTACCCATACATTGACGACGTATCTAGAGCGCTTCGATGGCAAACGTATGGACTCCTCCGTCCGAGGTTTGTCAGTCTCAGGTCCAATGTCATATTCAGGAAAGATGTGCCGAAGATGAATGCGACGATGCAAGCGCTACGGGGGGTAATCAATTCGCTGCGAAAGCTGTTACCAAGAGAGATCCGCCTTCAAGGTGTGGCTCATTGGCATGAGGTGCGAGCATTGCCTCCGGAGATTGCCCTCGAACTGATTGCTCAAATTGTACATGCCGAAGCCGTACGTGCCGAAACTGTACATACCGAAACCGTACATACCGAAAACGATATCTATCCAGAGACACCGGAAGCATTCAAGGTATTTCGTGAGTTCACCATAGCACCACTCGAAGAACACTGGCTAACAATGAACCTAGTTCGGTCGTTGAAGAAGACTGTGCAAGACCTTGGCCTGGCAAAGAGAGTCCTTCCCTTATGTTCTTATGTGATCTTTCCATCCAAGACCGCCCAGCCTAAGCGAGGACTGCATTGGGTCACCGTCCGCTCCACGTTCATGAAGTGGAATCATGAAGGCCAACAAGCATTGTTGAAAGAACGCCGGGATGGCCTCGCAAAGTCGTTCGCTCACCTACCTGCTATGCAGCGCGCCAAACAAGAGCTCATCAACGACACCAAGGAGCAGAACATTCCGCAGGGTACGAGCTCACCCAACCGAGAAGGTCTCCCATACCTAAGTCCTGGAATAGCATTCAATAACAACATCAACCCCCGGCTGCCTTGCCAGATATGCGGGTACTTCCATAACTTTCATATCTCGCATAAGGTTGGAAAGACGAAAAGGATGGACGAGCGCCTTTGGAAGAAGGAAAGGGCGATCTTCTCGTGCGCCGAGCTGGGTGTCGCTGCAATTATGCATTGCGTTGACGAGTTCGACCGAAGGCGCGAGGGGTCGTAAACATGCTGCAGCCATGAAAGACGGGCTCTGGCTGTACGGAGAAGGGAGGACGTCGGAGTCGGTAGGAGAAGGTATGGTTTCTCGCTCATCGTCGGGTATGATGCACTGGTGGATGCTTCTTTTGTGGCTTCTTGTTCAACATCGTTTGTATGTGGTTTTGGTGTCGCTCCTCTCGTCTTTTCTCAAGGTTGGCCTCAATGCGTGCTTCTTCTTTTGCAAGTTAATGTATACATTGACTTAGTGAGTATTTATCTGCGTATATTTAGATGTGTGTATGGAGCAAAATGCGACGCATATTCTGGCGACACCGAGTGTTGTGTTGCATAAACGCCATGTTGCTCATCGTCCACAGGTTATTGTGGTACTGCGCAATAAGCAGGCTGGAGCACAATGAAGATAGATTGTGAAGGTTGAGGAGCCGAGAGGATTAATATACTTAGAAACACATGTGCCGTTCACCGCTACCATGTCCTGTATTAATATGCATACTCTCCAAAGTTCGTTGCGTTCGGCTTACTCTCCATGGCATAGTCGCACTTTGCGTGGTTAATTTCGAATGGGCATGTCGTGGGAAGCTGGCATTATGGAGATGACAGTACCACGGACGAACATCCATCACTATACAACCATGTCGGATGAGGGTACGACACTCAAGGTCTGTGGCGATGGCTATGCGGGCGCAGTCGGGCTGCGCGGTGACGTGTTGAAGCCACAAAGGTATGATCGACTTCAGCACATCAAAGCACTTTCGGTGTCGTTCGGTGGTGCAAGACGAGTCGCTGAGGGCGAAGCTTCTTAGCCAGGGAAGTGCTGGAAGTTGCGAAGGAGAAGGCGAGGGGGTGACGCGGCGTTCAATGAGCCTTGGGCTCGGGGCTTTCTCGGCCGCGCTAGCACCCGAAAAGGAAAACTTCCGCGGCGATTTCAAACTTCATGAGTTCATCACAGATGCGTTTTCGGGCAGTGTCTTTATGCGATCGAAATTGTATGGATCAGCTTACATACGTGAGTATTTATCACGATCAAAGATATGTGCTGAAGACCAAGCTCCTTGTACAACGGCCCGATGTCTGACCCCGTTTACCACGGGCGCTCCCCCAGTCGACCACTGACCAACGCAAGAAGATCGATCATCCTAGTACGCCAAATACTCTGCGACTTCATCTTCATTAGGTATCCACATGTCCAGCTCGTCATCCTCTAGGCTGGGAGCGCTCATTTCGTTCGCGCGAAGCTTGTCAACCTCTGCGAAGTCAACGAGGTAACTACAATGCGAGCGTTAGCATTTTACTCATGGAAAACAGGGAGCCTACTTACCACTTGCAAGTCTCCTGATCCCACATGATATTGTGCAGGCCACGATCGATTGGCATAACCCCACATTTCACCACGGCACTGTTGAAAGGTCAGCACGATAGGCCCGGGATTGGTGGAAGAAAACTTACAGCCATGCAACTTTGAAGGCTTCTCGGACAACCTTCCTCTTCTCAGGAGCCATCTCACAGAACATGTCCATTGACAAAGTCACCCCAGGCAACTTGTTCATGAGCATAAGGACACGATAGCCTCCATCTATGGCTTCATAATGGAAACCCGGGCGCACCGTGCCTTCAGACGTACCACAGAGCCAGGGAGAATGCTGACATTTTTCATGCCCAAGACGGTCAAGAGCTTCTATCTCATTTCTTGTCGCGGGACTCGAGAGTGAAGTGGTAGGTGTGGTGCACAGCTTGAGGTGATCCTTGTATGCAGGCAATCTAGTGCCTCTGGTGTTGTTTTGATCACGTAGCTCCGCCTCGCCATCATCGATCATTTCCTGGTACTCCTCAACTGTACGCCTACTCGCGCGAATTCTGATACTGTTACTAACATGTCTAGGAGATTAAGGATTGTTACTTACTGGAACTTGACTTTGACTACACACTCGCCGATGGCTTTCCAGGGCTCATCTAGGCAGACACATGTGTAGACCTGGCGCGCTTCGCAGGGACTGTGGTCATCCTGGAACTCCAGTGTTGATAGCGGTGCGAGTATCTTCCATCGCGCATCCTTGGTGGTGCGGAAGATTTTGCCGACGTATGGATTGTCGCGCAGCCACTTGGGTGACGGCCTTGGCTTGCGGGCTTTCGCACGACTGGAGGCAACATCATTCTCGGGCTTGTGAGAATCGCTGGAGGAGCTCGAAGTGTTGGAGATGGGACGAGAGGTCATCCTGGAGAGATATCAACGGAAGATACTGCAGCGTGTACAATGATGCGGAGGTGGATCGATGTTAGGGCCCCAGTGTGTTGTTGCATCGGCCGACTACCTGTGCTCCAGTAGGAAATGCGCTAACTCGGGTACTAGCTCAGTCCGACTTAGCGCCATCTTGGATCAGTGATCATTGGCCAATTCAAGGCTCCGCTCTCGAGCTTGAAGTCGAGACGTCTCGCAGTTAATATTGAATGTATCAAACGAAGAGTTATTATTGCAATTTCGAGAAACGTACTACTTCACTTAAAAGCCAATTAGTAATTATCATGCCGGGCCGCAATTGAGTAAGCCGGAACAGTGGATCTCAAAAGTGCCGTCCATACACATGAGAGCCGATTAGATCTACTCATGAACTCCGTGGTCCCGCTGCCCATACTTTGAGCTTTTTAGATGTACTGTTGGGTATACACCACTAACATCCCCGAAAATCCGTCTACACACATCAATACGAAGACAGAACTTTTAAGAATGCAAAGTATTACCGACCCTTTCTGACGAACCGTCATTCAATGTTCCAAAACTGACTACAATATCCCAGATCAGTGTCACCTACTGCGGCCGTGCTGACTTCCAGCCCTGAAAATGGCTGCGGCATCTCTGATCTCTTCTCCGTGCCCGAAATACATTCAGAGCTGCCTTACTGGGCTCAGCTATGATAAACTCTTCAACTTCTACTCAGTGGCGTTGGTGTACTCGGGTCCAGTCTATGCAGCCGAACAAGGTTCTCAGCCTGCGCTCCCGCTTCATCAAACTCATCAGGTCCATCAGTATCGTCAGACAGGTCAAAACCATCATCGATGTATTCGCTATCATCGCCATCGTCGATATCAGCCACCTCAGAACTGCGCCCTGACTCTGTAGCCTCGGAGTTCTCGGCACTTTGGAGAGGAGTCTTTGCAAAGCTGACGTTGCGCGGAGACCTGGGCTTCGGTGACGGGCTCTTGTTTGTGTTCTGTGCCCTGGACCGCTTCAAGTTGTCTTTCAGCCCTTTTACCGTCTTTTTGATCGCATTCGCAGCTTTCATGGGCGATTCTTTGATAGGTGTTAGAACTTTTGAGAGCTGATTCCCGGAACGCAGTCGCCGAATCATGGATTCGGAGGGTAAGGGTGGTGATTCGGAGGGTATTAGTGGTGTTTTGCCGAGGTAGGGCGACCCTACAGCTGCTGAGGGAGTGTCGGCGGCAACCGTCCGAGAGTACCAATCATCTTGCTTCGGAATATCGCTCGCCTTCAGCCTCCAGCCTTCACCTCCATCGTCGACGACCTTGTGTAACATAAAGAGAGTTGTGAAGCGAGTACCGAATGTGTGTTCGTTGGTCCCCTCGTCCACACAAGTCGGGGTATCGTAGCGGAAGATGGGCGAGTAATAAAGACCATACTCTTTCGGATTGGATTTGCGCGGTTCGATCCTGAGAAAGATGGTTTCGTTGTAAGTCGAGACGATGCCGTACTTGATCTTGTGTTTGTACATATACTTGGCGGGCTGCCCTGTGATGAGGAGTTAGCGTGATCGAGGACGTTCAATGCTTGGTGTGGCAATGCTGTGCGGACTCGCAGAGACATGTCATAACTCACCAAGAAGGTTGCGCAACGATCCTGCGTTTTTAGAGGCGGGATCTTTGATCATCCTGGCCAGATTATGAGTCGTGCACATCTTGAATTCTCCTATGATGCGCACTGTCTCATCGCCGCCGTTCGAGTCGGAAACATTGAGGATGAGGTCGGGCTCCTGGTCTTTCGGGCGTGATTTGACATCCTCACCTTTAGAGCTGGGAACCGGCGGGTACAACGTCAGTGAATGTTTCACATGCATGTCGCGCAGTGGGCTTACCTGGAGTATTCAATGTGAATGGGCAGGAGCATTGCATCGGCTTCGGATCTGCATTCTGCAAGCGCATGTAAAACCGTTCGCACTGGCGTTGCCAGATTTTGCTTGATGCGCCCATCGACGTCGATTTCTGCCGCCATTGTTCCCCCCTCTTCTGTGACGAAGTTTGGATGATATACGAGAATCACCGGAGTGTTCACGTTCGTCATGGCTGGACAGTTATCGAAACTATACGCGGGTGTACCCATTCAGTGTTTGTCTTCAATGCGGCTTGATGGGGTTATTACTCGCCTTGACTTGAGAACGGCCACAAAGTCCTCCAGCTCGTCTTGGATGTTCCACTCCCCCAAATGACCCTCGAACATGTGGCGCATGCTGCTCTTTGTCGTGCCCTTTCCTCCGTTCTTTACTAATAGGAGCCTTGGAAGCGACGCACAGATAGTCTCCCATGCACTCTCGAAGATATCCGAGACCTCCAAGGTTTTGGGCGTCATGATTTGCGTGAGCGATATTGGCCTGTCCGTCGTGAGGTCGTAGTACGTGTTTCGCGGTAAGAATGCGTGCTAAGGAATCGCAGCGCAGAGCCGTGTCATCGTGGATGGTGCGTATAGAATTGTTGCCTAGACAATTTTGACTTCTAGGCGCTCACGATTTGCCCCACCGGTGTTTCCCTCTTTTCCCTCTCTCGTTATACCACTTTCCGCACCTTGATCCGTGCGCGCTTTCTCGCTCCAGAGGAAACCACAGTCACCGCACGAGGAACGTTCCTCTTGAACAATTGTACGGAAGCGATCCACTACGACTTCCATGTCCACCGTTTGATGTACTGAGAACACTGCATATACTCTTTATCATCACCCCGTGCACGCGAGCGTGAAGTTCATATGTCGGGCGGTATTGACAGCATCACAACTGTGTGGGGTACCAAAAGCCCGTCGCTCTAGGTCATCTGAACACCCCTCTTCACCTTGCGCTCTCCCTTTCGCCCTGCGAGTCCGGCCCACGTTCACTTTTCTCTCGGCCTTTCCACCCGGGGCGACAGCAGGGGTATCTCTGCTTGGCGCGTTCACTTCCACAACAAAATGGCGTTCCAGCAATCTAATTCGTTGTCCTTTCTCTTGCGATTAGGAGCAGGAGTATCGTTGCTTGATATACCCCATCAGTCAGCATGGCGCTGGTACGTTGAGCCCTCGTGCGCCATTAGTCCACTCGATGTTAACAGGTTATGTAGAGCAAGTACGGGTTCAGGATCCGAAAACCGGTATGCAGACAGCTTCATCGGCTTCAAGTAGTTTCTGATCGACGACATAGTCGCCGTTGCCGAATGCGAAAGCTGCGGCTGGTTCTGCAAAGGCGAGTAAGGAGAAGAGCACACTCGGTGCCCCACGCAGTCGTAACGGTCAGACCAAGAATCGTCCCCTGCCCAAGAAAGTGAGTACCATGCGTCAAGTACATGAGCATTGCCGGCAGCATGGAGCTGATGTAAACGTAGGTAGCGCCGTCCGTGGTGCCGAAGGGAAAGAAGACCGCTGGCTTCCGGACTAATGGCCAGCTTCGTATCGAGCCGACTTCTCTGAAGTCGCGAGTAACTCTCGATGATCTTGCTGAGGGTACGCAAGCCGCGCCCATCTGCATCGACGACGATGGCGATGATGACATCGGGGTCGCCCAGCATCAAAAGAGCTCGGTTTCGGTCAACAACGACGCAAAGAGTCAACAGAGTCTCGTAAGAGCGTTTACGCCTCTCTCCATGATCGATCAAAATCGCGAAACCGAAGTTCCGTCTCTTCCCACATCTGCACCCCAAGGCGCCGAGCTGAATGAAGACGTGCCTTCCGGCGCTTCGCGCGGCAGCAGCCCCATTGAGATTACTGGCGAAGATGACGAGCAAGCCTCGGACACGGAGCCTTCTTCCCCTATTGATGGGTATAAGTCTCCGCGGAGAAAGTGCTTGGTCAAAACAGGGCGCTACAGGGCTTTTCGCACGGGTCTGTACACGTTGTTCGCGATTACGAAACCGAAGGCGCGACAGATACCGTTCGACAAAGTCCTCAGAGTCATCAACAACAACCTTTCAGTCGAAAAGCAGTTCTCTCCTCTGGAAGCAAAGCAGGTCCTCAAATATATGAGGGAGAAATTGTTCGACTCGCTGTGCGCCGATCGGGTAGTGGACGTGAATCTGGAGGGGATCAAGTTGTATGCGTAAAGGGGATGAAAGGATTGCCGGAGCAGGGGCGTCGGCTCTATCTTTGAAGCTTTGCATAAGACAAGTTGAGTGCGCCTTCACTTGGAGTCGATTGGATGGTCGGGGCGTCTCAGAAATAGTGTTTAATGTACCATTGCGCGATGGCATAACCACGCCGAAACTTAATACGAATGCGCCATGACGATGAGTGTTGCGTCCCGGTTATCTTGCAAGAGACTACCGCCCTCTTGCGCTGATCTGGAGCCACGGTCCGACCTGAACAGCTCATCGTGAAAAGACTTTCTCACTCCGCGTGAAGTCCAGCCGTATTCTTATGGTACAACACATAGCTAGGCCGCAGTCACACTCCGCCCCTTCCCGTGTGTAGAGTGACACTGTGTACGTTGGAATTTGCGTCGTCTCGTCCGTCGGGCATCCATTGAGGTGTGGGTGGTTATGACATGGGCGCGGTATTGGTAGCTAATCGAGCTCAGCTGCGTCGCGATCTAGAAGAGCGTAACCCTGTCGTTGTTAGCATGGCGAAGTGGGAGATTCAGACAGTGACCTGCCTCGTGCCGTCGGAATGGGATATGACTAGATACCCGATGGCTACTCGAACAGGCGCCATGCAGGGGAGACTGGAGATGCGCGTCCGTTATGATGCATATAGACCACGCAACATCATCCATATCCAGCCTACGACGGCGTTCCACCAAGGCGCGATGTGGTCCAGCGTTCCAGACTTCTCAGCACTCCGGGCCATTCCTGCGGCTCCGCATCCCTTGGAAGCTCCACTGGCTTCTCCTCCTCATCCTCAGCCGGCGTAGTATGTAGTCGGGCTCGTCCCGATTGCGCGTGCGAGCGTGCGCCAAGGGATGTCGGGCTTGAGGTTGAAGTCGTGAATTCCGGTGGCTGGCGTGTGGTTCGTCTTGGAGAATATCGATGCGGAGATATAAAGTGAGAGGAAAGTGATTTTGATATCAGTTATCAACTTGACGTCCTACTCATGGTCAGTGATGGTGCATTGGAGGTATCTTATACCTTCTTACACTGGTGGCGGTCATGTCGATGATGCCCACGAGGGTGCCGGCACGGCTGCACAGAACGACGACCGTTTCATACCGGCTTCGGCCTGGGTAATGCACCTGTTGGATCAATCGCGACGAGTTGAGGGTTTCGCAGGGCGGCAATGTTGCGGATTGATGAGATAACGGCTTTGTGATGCATCGGATGGGACTGCACAGGTGCCCAAGTGGTGAGCAAGGAGCAAGTGACGTCGCGCGATTGGCCCCGCTTATCGCTTATCGCGCTGTCAAGTGAATCCTGTGCGCATCACCGGCAACGATCATGGCCGACTTCCAGGCAATCTTATCCGGGCAGAAGCTGTGTCATCTCGTTTTGGAGTATATCAATGTTCGATTTAGCGCACTAAGATGATTATGTCATTACACCGGGTCTCCTGAAAGCTGTGCAGTGGACTCCGCTCATGCAAGGCGAAGACGATCGAATCGTGCGTGACATAGCTTTAGGGTAGTAGATATAAGGCAGCTCTATCACACAAACGTAACAGAATGCAGCAGGCTATGAGCAGATCAAAACGTGTCAGTTCATCCTGAGCTGAAGTGTTACGCCACCGATGGCATCCTGGCCGCTGACCCATGTGCGGTGTGATGGATACCGGAAATGATCGAAAAGCGCACAACACCCAGGATTCTTTTTGGCCAAACACATTCACAGCGTGATGTGTCGTAGAAGTCTGAGCATATGCTCGGCGTGACGTTCAGCCGGGATGAAGCAAATAGAGGCTAGTCGCGTTTGGTATATCGCGTGAGGTTTGAGCATGTCTGGCTGGACGATCATTCCAGGGAAGGACAGCTTGGTCGATGACAGAATTGCAGGAATGAGTCGAGAGTTCCGCGGGAGTCGTCAAGCTGCATTGGAGTTTCGGATGGGTGGCTCATTGATATGAAGTAGACGTCGTAACAAATACTAAATAATGGTCGAATGGCTACACTCGCTATAGTGTGATATTGTTCGGTAGATTCGGACTGAACGTAAACTTGGTTGACGGCTATCGCGCAGCAGACATGGAGCTGCCGATTGATGGAGAACCTGATCCTGTATTCACATTCGGTAAGATGTCATTCATGACGAACGCGCAATACCTGCTGCAAAGCCATAAAGACGACACAGTAGAGCAAGAAGGCCTGCTCAAACTACATCGTGCGTGCCGAGTTTCACCACTTCCTGACCTTCCGTCTACGCCTACGTGATGAGCCCGAGGTCGCGTTGTAGATGATTTCCAGGAGCCTGTGGCCGACCGGAGTGTGGCGCAATGTGCCCCTATACCGGAGGATCTCGTTCACGTGGAGGGAAGCGGAGGTCGTACGTCGGCGTGAGTGCCAGAAGCGGAAGGGTATTTCAATCTGCATTCGACCTCCGAGCGATAGCCGGCACCATGCGACAGCCTACAGCCCACGTATCAGGGCTTGCCCAAGTCGCAACTACAGCCGCGAGTCCTCCAAGAATCCTCTGATGTTTGACCTTGTACCCGT